AGACTTACCTGAAAGAAGCAGAGTGTGCAAAATTTATGACCAGCCTTGAAATTTTACATCAATTTATAGTTGTGGTTAAAAGTGTAAATAATATTTATCAACAATGTTTGTGTGTGTAAAAAATGAACATTTAATTTTTCCATCAATGAGTAGTAGTGTCCCCGGGTCCAAGTGCATCACACAATACATTAAGACATTAAGACTTAACATTACATACTTTAGCCATGATTTTGATGTTCAAGACTCATTGTCAGATCTGGTTTTGCTCAATACAACTTTTGGCTATATTGTAATCATGCAAGGCCTATTTTTACATTTTGGAATATTATTTGTGCTCCGTTAGATTTTAAGTAACTTGCTGTGATCTTTCTTTCCTAATGAGTTATTACATATTGTCTCTTGTCCAGTGCAAATGTAAACAATGCTAAAGCCAGGGAAGAAACACTTAAATGGAGAAGCTATTGAGAATTCTGAGATCTGAGATGCAATTACAGAATTCTCTTTTTCAGCTATGTTTCTCCTTTCTTACTTCTCCCTGTCATGTAGTCATAGTTTGTATATTTACAATTAGAGATTATGTAATATTGGCTAGAAGTAGGTGGATGGTGTAATGTTCTAAGACATCTTCTCACAAATCAGTCTTGGTAGCAAGTTCTTATAAGAAAATCAAGTGCACATTTTGATTGCCGTCCTGCTTATATTTCACCACATCTGCATTTGATCATGTTTAATTAGACATTTAAATTTCTCTGTACAATTTTTCAATAAAACATTTACATCATAAATGGAAATGCGCCCTAATTATCTTTGTCTTAGCATGTATGTTTACTGATCTTTTGAAAGCTCTGGTTTAGGTTCAGGTTATTCATTTGTACTAGAACAACTAGAACACAGAAATTTCTGAGTGTTATTTGTTCTTTATTTGAAATTTTCAGTCATAATATTTATTAACATTTCAAGAACCTCAAAGTACATGAAGAAAACTTTTAACCAATATATTACACAGCATCAAGCTTTCTCATTGAAGGATATTTTTTTTCTCTGTAGTGTTCATTGCTTTTCTTAGTTCAAAGAGTTTTACCTGTATGGTTTCTCTCTTATTTATTCTATTTATTGCAGTAGTTAAGTAATATTTTGTCTAAATATTCTCATGAATTTTCTTAAGGGTTTTGAAAACTACAAAGTCATATTCTAATCACAGAGCTAAACACATTTTAGTCATTAATATTGTATTTGTTATCAAATATCTTGGCAGATACATTCAACAACACTGCACTCTACAGTGTTTGACTTTCACTTGCAAGATCTTGTGTAAGATGAAACATTTCACTGTTTTCATTCTGATCATGAAGCTGGCACGTTGCACAATTGGAAGTCGTAAAATTTCCAGCTCAACACTTACAAGTATGTATTCAAGTTTTCCGTCAAACATCTGAATGTATGCGACAAGGTGTTACACACTTGCAGTATAGGACTCTAACTTGCAGGTGCTTGCCAGTTAAACACTTAACATACCAGTGATGTAACTACTTCTGTACCAGAAATTAAGTTTGTAGGAAAGATCTGTGTTTGAATTAATGGACTTCTCAGGACATTTAGATCTTGGACTTATATAAACATTTACTCTACAAAATTGCAACAAAAGATCCGACTTCACTGCTGTGTCCACATAAAAACTTTTAGGGGCACTGGATGATTAGCAACCATGCCTGGACATCTGGAAATGCTAGTAAAGTTTTTAAATTGGCTAGTTTTGTGGTTTTCATACCAAGAATACTCACATTTAAAATTGCATTGTAAAATTTCAAATTTTTTGAAGAATTGGAAAATTCTGCAAAATAGTCCAAGGAAAGAAATTAGCTTTTAAAGGATATTATGACACATTGCATCTTCATTATTTTTATACTTATTAACTCTAACTTGAAATTGATTTATCATTCCCAGTACATATTATTCAATTATTTAAAGATGTAATTCAGTTGTGCATAAAAACGCATCAGTTTTAAAAGTCACAATTTGAGCACTTGTAAAAGTGTACTTAAAGCCACGTGTATACCTCCCTTGTTTTGCTTGTACCAAATGAGGAGCCTACTTACAGTACATATTTGTGGTAACTTTTGGTTATTGGGTACGTACTGGATGCGGGACAAGAATATAGTTAAACCTTAAAAATTGTACAAAGTCCAATGGAAAAATAATATATATGATTACTCATGACCCAAATTTGCTCTTGTCAAGAAGAATTAGACATTTATTAACTGAGCACTTAACTGTTCTTCTCTCAAAAATAAGACCTATTCATAGGGAGAGTGCCATCATTTCCCTTTCTAAAAATTAATGATGACAACCCTGAATTTGTTTATGATGATTCTGGCCGAGCTCTGGTGCCGGTGTAGTAGGCAACCCTTCGTACTGCGCGTAGTGTGGGATGCCTACCAGCAGGCAGTCGTAAAAGTCTCGAGGATGGCGCTTTTCTTGCGAGCATCAGAACAATCACAATTTCAAATTCAAGGTCGGTAACTGGTCAACGTAGATGTGTACACCCTAAATGATAATTGATACCACCTTCCCTCCACACTTTGAAGAAAGGCGACGAATCTCATAAAATTATTTAATAATTGAAACCACACTTTTTTTACAATAAATATAAACCACGACGAAACACACAAGTTATATTTATAATTATTATTAATAATTGTATCAAGAACAACTATATACTTCCTCTACTGTCTCGCTGGTGCTGCGGGGCCGACCTGCGGCGCTTATCACAAACCATAGCTAGCTACTCACATTACTCATTATTTCACCCTGCGCGGCCCGCTCGGCGGCCTGTCCGCCCGTTGTGGTGTGCCCTACACCTTGGTCCTCTTCGGTGTATTTTCACCAATGATGAGTTCGACACGAAAAACAAAATTGACACACACGTCAGTTTGACTGAAACAGGTCCTTTCTTAATGTGACGTCACACACTTAATGTCTCGTCCATTTCACTCGAGGATATGGTACACGTTTGGGCCCTTTAGTTCTTGTTCTAGCTGTCTGCCGGTCAACCACGGCGGGCAGGCATCACTCCTTGGGCACGACCGACACGTACACGGGCCTGTACAGCACGACGGTCTCCTGCGGGAGGCTGGTGCTGCCGTCGTACACCTGCCCCAACAGGAACTCGGGGCCGATGTAGGTGCCGCCCTCAACGTGCTCGCTCGCCACCTCTAGAGAGAGAGAAATAAGACTGTTCAAGTGAAAACGGGAGGCACATGCGGTACCACTCACTACAAGCACTGGACCCGTACGCACCGTATTGAATGTTGGGCTGCTGCGGACTGTTGGGGATCCGGAACGGGACCGTGGCGATGGTCAGCGGGAAGTGCATCTGCAGGTCGTCGCCCGAGCGCTCGAACTCGAGGTTGACCTTGAGCACGTAGTAGATCTGCAGCAGCCGGCACACGCCGACCAGGGAGGGTGGCATGACGGGCAGGCGCAGCGTCCCGCCCGAGTCCCAGGTGCGGTGCGTGTGCGGGCCGACCTCCTCGCCGCGGTACTCCAGCACCAGGTGCTGCAGCTCCTTGGTCACGCCCAGCATGCCCCGGTCGATGAAGTACTCCACGTACTGGACGGGCGCGACAAACGATTAGAGAGCGGTAAAAAAACCAAGGGAGTACTTCAGTCACAAAAATAAATTCAGTGCACTCCCTCAAAACAAAACAGAAAAAATTAAGAAAATTTTTAATGGCAATAAAACTTCGAGAAAAAAAAATAAAAAACTTTTTAAAACAAGTCAGAAAAAAAATTGAAAAAATAAGAAAACATCGAGAAAAATTGAGAGGAAAAAAAAAGAAAAATCGGCGTAGGCTTGAATTTTTAGTGAAGTACTCCTAAATTCGGACACTCACCTGCATGAGGCGCACCTTGAGGCGCACCGACTCCTCGCCCTGGTTCTCCACGGACGCGCGCAGCTTGAGGCTCTCCCCGGAGCAGTAGGCGCTGCGCTCCAGCTGGGTGTGCAGCATCACGGCGCCCTTCTGGCAGCACAGGCAGCAGGTGGGCCGCTTGTCCTGCCCCACCATGGGCTTCTGCAACAGGACGGTCGGGACGTGCGAGTGAGAGAGAGTAAGGCGCACTCGCACTCCACCCCCTCTCTCTCTCTCTCTCTACTCCCTCACATCCCTTTCTCTCTCTCTCTCTTGCTCGCTCTCTCCCTCTCTCGCGCGCGCTCATGGCGCGGGGCTCTCACTCGGCCCGGCCGATTCACACTTTATTTGCCGACGTGCACGAGGCGCCACACCGACGCTCGCCGGTGAGTAGGTCAAACCGCCACACAGAGAGGAGAGACCGAGGGGCGAGGGGAGGAGGGAGGTAGAGCGCCACGGCACGTGTGGGCTACAGCCCACCCCACTGGGCCACTGGGCCTGCTGCGACCCCCCAAGCCGAGCAGCGTGAGCAGCGTCCACGGGCACCAGCACAGCGCCAGTAATACTCTATTTTGGCTTGGAAGTGGGAGAGGGGGTAAGGTGGGGGGGGGGGGGATACACCATCACCACCACGGTCATGGTGTCATTACGCGTTGTCATTACGGCCTATTCTCTTTTCAGAGAGCCTTTCAGCCGCTGGGCATGAATAGAAACCATGGCATAATATAACCCTATTTAACGATAACTGTGATTACAATTGTGTAAAAATTAATTGTTGGCGCAACGTGGCACTCCCGCGCTCGCTCGACGTAAGTACATCGTAACCCGCGCAGTCTCATAAAGCCGTGTTACGCGGATGGAGCTGAAAAAAACAAAACACAAACAACAACTGATTCGACTTACGAGGTACTGGTCGTCCATGCAGTCGATGTGCGGTCCGATGATGGTGAAGTACTTCATCCCCTGTGGCGGCGACGCGTAGGGGATATCCACCGTCACCTGCAACAAGGTGTTACACTTGCACTGTACGGCTGATAGATATAAGTTGAAACTTGATAGAACAATAACATGTGATATTTTAAAATCCGCCAGAAAGTTAGTCCGTACTTTGTCGTTACGGACTTGCCAGGTACGGCCTTTCGGCAAGCTCTCATAGCGCCTGGCAGGTAGGCAACATCTTGCCAGCAGTGCACGCGTGCACTGCGGGTCGGCCTACCCCGAGTCTTGCAGGCGCTCAGCTCCCGTAAGTTCCCAAACAGGCTTCAGGTAAATGCTTTCTTCACGGCGATCCCTTTGTGATTACAATGACGACGGCGAACACAACGGTTTTACATTGACCTCCTTGGGCAAGTTGAAAATTCATATACTACCTCGGTTTCATCCCTGGGTTTTGCCTTTGACAGTAAAAACTCGTGGCACCACACTACCCCCGCCCAGCACTCACACGTTCACTCCACTCTCGAGGGGAGGCGGTGGTGGAAAGAAAGAGGGAGCTGGAGAGGGTAGTAACAGAAAGGGGACTGCGGGCGAAGGGAAGGGGGGGGGGGTCAACGCCGCCTAGAAGACGACGGCGACGACGACGGGGAGTGGGAGCTAATACAGCGCGAAAGTTATTGCTCGTAAATTTGGCTCGTCTTCGCGCATCTTTGTTCCCCCGGCACGTACACGTACAGTATATACCCCCCACAACGTCATACTGGCGCGATTGTTTCGCGTCACACTATAACGCACTGCTGCTGGCAGTGGACGGCAGCGGAGGCAGCTGACGCGGTGGTCACGGTACAAACTGCGGGCGGGGCTTGGCTTGACCTATTTCACAGGTAACGTCACCTACATAACCCAAATTGACTTGCCCCCTCCCTTCTCCTCTCCGGGAGAGCCCTGTCCAGGCGGCGCGGCGGCGGCGCCCCCGCCTGCCCCCGTTGTGCAGGTCCCCCACAACACCCCAGTAGGTCCCCTGTAGGTCCCCTGTAGGTCCCCTGCAGCCTCCCCCTGCAGGTCCCCTAGGGGGGCCCTGCCTCCTGGTCTCCTTTGGCCGTTTTATGGCTCCTGGGGTGGATTTATCGCTACTCACTGCTGTCCAGTCGGGCCCACGGGGTGAGAGCAGCGTGGGGTGTGGCGGTACG